AATTCTGAGTGTCTACTGCTGGCCCTGATGGCCTTTGATAGGTACAAGGCCCTTGGTAACCTGTTGCCCTACACAGTCAATATGTCTAGCAGAGTGTGCTCCCTGTTCATGGCTGAGGTTTAGATGGTGGGAATGGCATATGATTTGATACCTACAACATTAACATTCCACTTGTATTTCTGTCAGTCAAAGGAGATTAATCATTTTTTCTGTTATGTCTCACCTCTCCTTTTGGTCTCTTGCTCAGATACACAGGTCAATGAGGTAGCAATATTCACCATTTTTGGCTTCATTGAACTGAGTACCACTTCAGAAGTTCTTGTCTCTTATTGTTATATTACCCTACCAGTCTTGAAGATCCACTCTGCTGAGGGGAGCTTCAAAACTTTCTCCACTTGCATCTCCCACTTAACTGCTGTGGCAATTTTCCACTGAACTATGCTCTTCATGTATTTCTGTCCAAGTTCTTCCTACTCCTTTGATCAAGACAAAATCACCTCATTGTTTTACACCCTTGTGATTCCCATGTCAAACCCTTTGACTTGTAGTTCATGGAACAAAGATGTGAAAAGTGCCCTGGAAAAACTAGAAATTAAAAGTTCACTTTAAGCAAATAGGCAGATAGTATTAATAAATATTTATATATGTACACAAACATACTCTTGTGTTTTCCAAATAATTTATTATACCATAAAGTTGTCTCAAATACCTTAATTAGTAAAATAAGTTTTTTCTCCTAATTCAGAATAGTACCAATATTTTGGAGATTTCTAAGTATGCTATATTTCATTGTATATCTCAGTTTTAAGTAAGCTTCTCTCTATTTTTGGAAAACTTGCCAATCTCCTTTTCAGTGTGCCAATTTTTCATTTGTTTAATGTTTATGTTATGCATTATTTTAATTAGTCTAAGAGCTATTAGAGTTTACATTGTACTTGTACTTCTAGGTGTTTTGAATTTCATGGTGGCATAGTGGTTGAGTTCACCAGCAGAGCTTCAGCTGCCCAGGGTTTCCTGGTTTGGATCCCGGGTGTGGACCTAGGCACCACTTATTGAGCCATGCTGTGGTAGGAGTTCCATGTATAAAATAGAGGAAGATGGGCACAGATGTTAGCTCAGGGCTACTCTTCCTCAGCAAAAGGAGGAAGGTTGGCGGCAGATGTTAGCTCAGGGCTAAGCTTCCTCAAAAAAACAAATATTATTGATTCCTGGAAAACTAATGCAAAAACAAAACTTTTTAGGGCCTGGCCGCATGGTTAAGTAAGTTCTCGCTCTCCACTTTAGTGGCCCGGGGTTCACCGGTTTGGATCCTGGGTGTGGACCTATGCACCACTTATCAAGCCATGCTGTGGCAGGCGTCCCACATATAAAATACGGGATGCTAAGCACAGATATTAGCTCAGGGCCAATATTCCTGAAAAAAAAAAAAAAAAAAAAAACAAGAAATGAACTTATGTAAATTTACCAAAGAAAGAACTTCCTTCTTTAATTTTATTCAAGTATGTTCATTTTAGATGAGATCCACCTGCAATTGTCATTTGGCCTAGGCTTAAATAAGAATCTGGCACAGAGTTTATTTGATTTCAAAATCTTGTCATGCTATTCCTCAACATTCTACCTCAATTATATCAGCCGGCATTCCCAGGATCATCAGCTCTTGACTGTAATGCAACTCACAGACTTCACATCAGCCTATGAATTTCCCTTCTTGCACTCACTCTGGAGAATGGATATGTTGCTATCAACAACTATACAGAAACTGCATGAATGGAAGTTGAGAGTCAAAGAGTTGGACCTTCTCCAAAGGCCACTGGAAAAGAGGACATCATCTCCCCAATGTGTTCATAGCATTATATTAGTTAAAATTAATAAAAAATAACTGAAATTCCCAATGGATACAGTTTAAGCTGTAAAGGAAGAGTTATTGACATAAATATATGTCCCTTGGACAAAAAAAAGAAAAGTAGTATTTACATTAGCATTCCATTTGTAAGGATTTATATTGGCTTTCTGTGTATATGTAAAATAAACTAGAACCATGTTGTACGCAAAATTTTAAAAGTGGTCATTGCTGAGAAATTGGATGCTATATAATCCTATAATCTATTCCAAAAATTTAAATTAATTCCATGTCTTTCAGACTGTAATCAATCACTAGTTAATTCAATTGTGAAAAATATAATACAATTTCAGATTATCAAGCCTATTCATTTTATTTAAGTTGTTGTCATGAAAAGAACTCTGAGATCCTCTTTTTTTCTTCTGGGAGGAGAGAGCAATGGGTTATACAAGGTTTCTCATTTAGATCCTCTTTTCTAATTTTCCATATCCCTTTGGTGTATGAAATGTGCTGAGTGCTATGCAGTCAAAACATCAATGGAATGAAACAACATATTAAAACATTCAACTTTCAGCACATTATTTGCCTTTCGTTACAAATTGATGAGTTTTAGACAAAAATATTTCATTATCTCATAAAGGTATATTTTCTTTTATAACCTCGAATAATTTCTTTGTTCATAGACTATATCACATACTACGACCTCTCAATCACTGTCCAAACCCATTCTCAACTAATGTACTTTATTAAAAATGTGTTAAGCGCATATCTCTAAGAATTAAACCTATTTTGTTACATAAAATTAGCTCCACTGGCCGTCTTTCACATAAATGTGTAAGTAAAAAGAAATTCTTTTTTTTTTCTTTACTTTTTCCTTTAAAGACGTTAACTTCATAGCCTTTACAGGTGATCAGGAAACTAGCGTTTTTGTTTTTCTTTTAGTTTTATATTCATTTTAAGAAAATGATAGATACGGGTGAGAATTTACGATAAGAGCTAGAATTTGAAGTGAAACTGTCCTGAGTTTAAATCTGTATAAAGTCATGTACTTGTTTTTACTTGTTAGCTCTGTGACCTTAACCAACTCACTCCCTATCAAGGACAAAATCCCTGATGCTGAAAGAAAAGACAGTATCTTTCATGGCATCATCCCACGAAATGGAGTCTCCAGGATCCAACTTTATCCACTTTAGAGCCTGCTCAACCAATCTGTCCAATTCCGGTTGCACATTCTAGCCTCAGAGCATGTTTTGAGCTTTCTGCTCAGCAGCCTTAGGACTTCTTTTCCCTGACCCTGCCTTCGCTCTTGGTTAAGGTTGAACATAGGTTTCTTCACAGCTACACATGCTGGCTACATCATTTAAAAGTCTAGGCCAGGTTACTGAATCTTCTCTACTGATCTATATTTAAGACCCTATATTGCCAAGAAATGAACTTATATAAATATTTCCAGACTGCAAAGGAACCAATATCCTTCCGCTGTGATGAACCCATGCATTTTGTAGAATATTTCCCACTCAGTGTTTAGGAAGAAGCACTCGGCTCTCATCACCGTCAAGCTGCCATTCCGTTCTTGCCTATTGAAAGCCCACACTGGCCAGAGCCCTGCCTCACCACTGATCTGTATGGATGCAACTCTTCACGTAAATTTTGTTCCACTGTGGTAAATGGAACTGTGGTCTAGATTTAGAACCCAGCATACATTATTATGGTCAGAGGTTTTCCTCTCTAGCTCATCCTTTCTCCCACTACTCAACCTCACCTTTATGTTAGGACTTACTTTAGACTTTCCAGCCACACCTTTTCTTTGGGTCATGCTCTAGAAACTGGCCAAGCCATCATCCCACTATTTGTCTGTTTCATTTCTCATCTTTGATTCTCAGATAATAGCTTCCTTCAGAGAATTTAAGCTCTTTGCCTACCAATAAAGACATTTCATAGTGAATATATTCTTGAGGAAATATTTTATGATCCATAATTTTATTTAGTTGATATTTGCAGATTGCCTTTTTGAAAGTCACCATACTTGACACTATCTTATAATAGTCGTGTGTATACAGTACCCCTCTAGAGAATTAACAAAAACTATTGCAAGAGAAATATATAGTTTCTGCCTATTACTTGTATATAATCTAAATTATACTCAATCCATAGTAAACTTAACCATGATTATTTCAGAAAAAAATATTCAGTATCAGAAGAGATTGAGATAAGAGGCAGGGATCAAATAAGAAATAAATTAATAAGAAATAATTAAAGAATAAATCTAACAGAACAGACACAGATAACCACATGATTAAACAGAAAATGCTGAGAATCTTAAAAGAAGCACACAAGATTTTAGTGAGATGTAGAATTTGCATTGTCATCTGTAATTGAAGAGAGTGTCAGTAAAATATCATATAGGAACTAATATTTGTGGAATGCTTTTTTAGTGAATATGATTTGAACTGTTAAGCTATAATATGTATGTATTAACTTGGAAATAATTAATTGAAAAAGAGTCTCATTGAATTGAACTTATTTACTTTCACAAAGAGTGTTGTGAGATGTCAGTGATATCTAATATTGGTAGTAATTGTGATAAAATTTGGGGTGGGGGGAGAAAAGGAGTAAGAGTATTAGATATACAATATTATGTACAGGGTAAATCTACCCCTGGAATAAACAGTTAAAAATTCAACTTTATTTTTTTAACTTGTTTTATTAATAGACATTTAGATTGTTTTCAATGATTTTCTACTACACACTATGCTGCAAGGAACACATTTGAAAGTAGTGAACTTTCATAGATTCGATTCCTGGAAGTGAAATTGGTGGTTTAAATGGTGCATGCATATTTAATTTTCATGTTAGATGAATTATCCTCCATAGAAATTGTCCGCAAATTATCCTCCATAGATAGCACTAATTTACATTTCCACCAACAATGAAGCAGTATGACAAAAATTTCATCTTTAAAATGATAAAGAATTAGACATAATACAAGTGATGTGAGAAGGTATGGTTCTGATATTAGGCTCTGACCCTATTCTGTGGTTGAAGCCTCGTTACCCGTAGAATAGGAATCGTCTATGTCAAATTGTCTTTTCCATCAGTTAGAATGAAAGGTCAATAAACAGACAGGTTACAAAGTTGTCAAGCTCATTTCCACCCTTTCTTAAGAAAGTGACTTTTGGAAAATCACTTTCTTCAAGGCATTTTTTACATCTTTGTTCCTTAGACTGTAAATTAGGGGGTTCAGCATAGGTATAATCAGTGTGTAGAACACAGAGGTCACTTTGTCCATATCCAGTGAATGACCAGTGCTAGGCCGCAAATAAATGAAGATCAGGGTACCATGGTAAATAGTGACCACAGTCAGGTGGGAAGCACAAGTGGAGAAGCCCTTTCTTCTTCCCTCAGCAGAACCTGTTTTAAGAATAGCTGCTATGATGCAGACATAAGAGAGAAGAACTGTTAGAAGGCAGATGGCCTCCACCAAACTAGCAAAGATTACCAGAACAATGTCATGCATGTAAGTGTCAGTGCAGGACAGCAAGAAGAGTGGGGAGATATCACAAAAGAAATGGTTAATTTCTTTGGAGCAAAAAGACAGAAGGAAGGTATTAGTAGTATGAATAATTGCACTCAAAGTGCCCCCCAAAAATGCTCCAATTGCAAGCTGACAGCAAATCCTCTTGGACATAATGACAGTATAAAGCAGGGGGTTGCAGATTGCTATGTACCGGTCATAAGCCATGGCAGCCAAGAGGAAAGATTCTGTGTCAACAAAAGAGCAGAAAAAATAGAACTGTGGCAGCACAGCCATTGTAAGAAATGGTCTTCTTATTGGAAACCAAGTCCACAAGTAATTTGGGGGTGATGACAGAAGAGGAGCATGCATCTGTGAAGGACAATATGCAGAGGAAAAAGTACATAGGGATGTGCAAGTGGGAACTGATTGTGATTAAGAAAATCATCCCAAGGTTCCAGATAAGGGTAACAGAATAGATGAAAAAAAACACAGCAAAAAGAACACTCTGAAGCTCTGGATGGTCACTAAATCCCAAGAGAAAGAATTCAGCCTTCACCGTGATGTTCTTCAACTCCATTCTCTGCAGTGTCCCTAGACTTTGATGTTGTGACAGAGTAATGATTGCAATGTTAGTAATAATCTCAATATTAACAAAAATTAAAATGATCGAAATAAATAGAACTGTACCTCTAAATCCATTTGGGCATCCTGATTTCACCCAGGCATATCTACTGTTAGTGTCGTGTAATGTATAAGTTTTTACTTTTTTTACTGAAAATCTGTTTTTCACATTAAATGGTACCATTATCAAACCAGTTGCTGAACTCTTAACCTGCGTTTAACTCTTACTTTCTTCAATTCTCTCAGATTCCACCAATGTCATGTGATAGTGGTTAAACACATTGCTAATAGCAAACTTTTAATAAATAGACTTTGTTCTGATTTGTGTGGTTTTTTTTGTTTATTTCCACAACAGATAAAAGCATTGCTTTTCCAGGTGAAGCCTTTTATAGATAGAGGAGCAGAAGTTCTGAATTTCTCACCTTGAGATTTGGCTTTGCCTCTGAGGAACAAAGGAACTCTTTCGAGTTGTTTGAAATCCACTAATAAAACAGAAAGAAGAAAGATTCTGATTTAGTTATATAAGTGACTGAATCCTAACTCTTGTCACACAGTAGTTGTGAAACCTTGGGCAGGTTAATTAATCACTGAGTTTCAGTTTCATTTTCTATGATATGAGAATGATAGTACGTTTCTCATCATAGTACAATTGTTAAATGAATCTCCTTCTACAGCCTCAATATTCTCACCATCTTCTTTCTTCACTATTCTAAGGTTAGAAATATAACCATTGTGAGTCAATGAGGGCATCTATTTTATGTTATCTGGAAATGTGACAGATATGCAACGTTTCCTCTTTATCATCACTGAAATCCCACTATTAAATTTCACTCCTCTTTTTCTTCAGTTGAACCTCTTTATTGGCCTCATTGCCCCCAGTCATTTCTCACGCTACTTTCAAACATGCTACAAAATCCATCCATAAATCACTCTAAGAGTTACCTGTATGAAGGAGATTTTGTATTTTATGTTTCTTTCTTGCTTAAACTCTTTAATTATTCCCTGTCTCCAACAAACTCAGCGTTCAAGTACCTTCACATTTGACTTATGTTTCCATTTTTATCTCATATCCTCCATCTCAGAACCTGATCTAACATTAACAAAATCTTACCCTTCTGTTCTTTCTTAAATTTGTTCCAGGTTTTTAATAAAACTAAATGTCTTTAGTAAAACTTTGCATACGTTTAGAGTAAATAAGCAGAGTGTAACTATGTAGGAAGTTATTTCCTTTGTATAGAGAATCAAATAGAGATACGATAATGATTGTGAATTCTGGATTATTACTCAAAGCTTATTTTCTACCTTTGCTCTGTTTCTCACTAAATTAGGTGAATTCTGGGTGAGTGTGCATATCTGGGCTTAATAATTTTCATCTTGTAATTTTCAATGAACTTCCACAGCTGATTTAATTCTCACAGCTTTTAAAAAATATGTTAATAATTTATTGTATCTCAATTATATTGAAAAGAACCTGATATTTTGAGGCCAATTAACCAGGACAGGGTTCCACTGTTCCACAATCGAAGAGCCAGGGTCAGAGATTGTAAATTCGGTTTTAATGGGCTCAAACACTTTCCAATAAACATTGCCTTCCCAGAGATGGAAATGCATCAGAGATGGTGAAACTTAGGAAGAAAAATGGAGTAAATAATGTAATTATTTTCCAAAAACTCCATGTGTTAAATTCAATACAAGGTATTAGTTTAAAATTAATTTAAATTTTCACTGAGGGTATGTGGTGAAATAGGCAGATTTACTTATTTTGACACAGTAATAGAGAAAGTATGTTGTGGTGATTACAAACGTGGACCCTGGAGCCAGACTGCCTGGGTTTAAGTACAGCTCTGCAACTTAATACTTGTAGGACATTGGCAACAGTTCAGCAGCTCTATAGTTTCCTTTTCTGATATGTAAGTTGCATATTACAGGAACACTTGTATGCAAGGTAATGATGAGGATTAAATGAGCTATTACATGTAAAGTATTTTGAAGAGGGCTCTTCAAATAGCAAAAATCCAATAAATATTAGCTATTATTATTCAGCCATTGAGACAAGCTTGATCTTCACTAGACACTATTTATTATTTTTTTATCAACCAGGATTCACTTTTTGCTCTAAAGAAAGGGTTAATTGGAAAAAGAAAACATCATTGAGCTACTAGTCAACTCTTTGGAGCTCTCTTTTCCTGAAATACATGTGTCATCCTCCTTAGAAAATAGCAACTTTCATTGAGTTACAGTCCATCCATAGGTGTCTACAAACATGAGAGACAAGATTGTCAGTTGAGCTAAGAGTGGAACAATGGCCACTGTTGTGAAGGTGAGGGGAAGATAAAGTTATATCCAGTGGTTAGCAAGGAAATGGTGGATGAAAATGTTTCTTTGTTGTGCCATCATCTCTTTTGGTAATTATGAAGAATGACTATTAAAAAATAAGCACCAAAGAAATAGGCTTATCTTTAGAGATGATGCTTAAATAAGCCTTGGGTCTGAGCCATGGGGAACAAACACTTCTTTGCTGAAGTTGTTTTCTGCTAACCCCCTTATTTCCAATCACAGAATGAAGAAATCAATATTTACCAGTAATGACCTTCCAAGGATGTTATATGCTTCTAGACTGAAAGAAATTTGCAGGATTCAAAACTGAAAAATGAAAGCCAAATGGAAGAATGAAAGGTGAAACGAATACAAGAAACAAAAAATTAAGAGAAGTCCAAAGAGAAGCTAAATAATCTGTTCTTCTATGCAACTGGCAGATGAGAATGAAAATGGAGATCTTTGGTAGAGTTCAGCAAACTTATATATTCCCTCAGTAAGCTCTCTATATGGAGCCCTAGTCACTACTTTTGTAAATTTGTTTTCTATTCCCGTAAAGCCAACCCACTAATACCACTTTGGTCTTTTTATTTCTGTTGGTAACTGTTGATACCAAGGTATTAACATAGGATAAAACAAATAATATAATATACAAATTGAGTCAGCTTGAATTTACGTCTAAGCCTACTCAACTTTTAGAAAGAAATAATAGATAAAGAGAATTGTGTTTATATTTAGATTCTGAATCAGAGTCCAGAAACGCTGAGGATTGTTTTAAGAATATCGTGTGTTATATGTGCTTTCTTGCAGTTGCTGTTGTTTTGGTTGGAAATACCTTGAGGACTTGAAAATCATTATCCTAGGTAAGATTTATTCTAAAAACATCAGTTTCTTATGTGAAAAATAAGTGAGTATAAGAAAATGATTATGTGAAATCCTATGCAGCTTTAGTATCCTAGGATTATGTTAAGAACACTTACCAGATCAGTAACTTCTTTTCATTCAGTTTCTTGCTACACTGTCGTCAGCATCAGTTCATTTTTCACTGAAGAAATCAACTTTGGCAGTTAAAAGATTAAAAAATAGACCCATTGCAACATTTGTTATAATTCATTTGGGAAGACATTTTGTGTTCATAGAATAAATCTGTGCCTCCCTTATGAAGGCTATGGTTCCTTAGAACAATGCAAGACCTTTTATATTTTGCTTTGAGACTATTGAGATAAACTTTCCAATCTCAAGTCAGATCCTAAGAACACACACACTAATATCCAAATCCCAGTGGGAAAAGATATGTGAGCAATTAAACAGTTCTACTGAAGACTTGATTAAACAAAAAATGAAATGATGCAATGTGTTTTTCTACATCCTGAGAATGTCTCGAAGAAAAATGTTTTTTGGTTCTCAAAATAGTAGGTCATTTTATATAAGATTGGATTATGATATTTGCTATCAAATTTGACTTAACCAGCTCAAAGCAAGTTATCAAACAACTATCAAAATGTTCTATGTAACAGCATGATGGGGTAGAGTGGAAAGAAGCAAAAATGTGTCTATCTAGCTAAGGAGATTTAAAGGATATTGAAAGTAAACATGTAGATGGATGAATGAAGTTAATGACTCTGATATGTGCTATATGTGCATTTATGTTCAAAAGGAATTCTGGCCACCCAAGGCCAGAATCTTCATTCAATAAATACATTTATTCTATGAATATATTGTGCCAGGCAGTGTTCTAAGTACAAAGCAGAGAGAAGGAGGATAATCTTAACACGACATTAAGAATTTTGTCAATTATTGTGGCTGCCCCAATGGTGTAGGGGTTAAATTTACGTGCTTTGCTTCAGCTGCCTGGGGTTCATGGGCTCAGATCCCAGGCATGGACCTACACAGAGCTCATCAATCCGTGCTGTGGCATTGTCCCACATACAAAATAGAGGAGGATTGGCACAAATGCTAGCTTAGCAACAATCTTCTACACCAAAAAAAGAGAAAAAAATTAATTTTGTCAATTATAGAATAGTGAGTGAGAGGCACTGAGGAAACATCATAAGCAATTATATGGAGGTTGGAAAGCCCATGGCATGACTGGAGACTTGGAAATGAGTTTTACAGAGAATGTGTTGCCTACTAATGAAAGATAATACTCAAAAATATATATCTTGGCAAACAGAGATATAAGCACTTTTGACCTTCTATCTCTGCCTAGAGGATTAAACTCAGCAGAAAGAAACTCTTTTTTCCAATAATTCCAGAAAATCTCATTAGGTCATTAGTTTAATGGTGTCCACCAAGAAACCAATCACGGTCTTTTGATGACTGGTAATTAACACTTCCCCATAATCCCATTAGGTGCAAAACAGAGACTCACTAAGAATAGGTAAGGTTGGATTCTCACCAGAAAATTGAGATGTCATTAAGTAAAGAATGAGAAAAACATGTCAACCCCTATAGTTTAAAAGTAAGGAGTGACCGGATTATATATAATAAAACAAAACCCCTCAAATAAATACAGAAGAAACTTTTATGTGGCTGCTTTTCAGACATGTTTGAGGAGCACTCAGTGCAGTTCAATTTTCCCAGACAACTGGCAGCATTGCTTATGAAGTAACATCGGGAGGAAAAGAAAAGTCTGAAATTTCC